GTCGACGGCTGCGGCGTTGGGGGGGGGTGTGAAGAGTTTTCCTATCAGAGTGCCTGTAATAGCTTATAGTAGGGAAATAATTAAAAAAGCAGTGGATGTAACCACTAGCTGTAATCAAGTTGCAGAATGAGATGAATCATTGATCTTGCACAAAAATAATTGTATACAGATAATTCCTTTAGCAGCATGTGGATAGTATCAGTGTTTAGATACACAGCAACTCTATGATGGGTTTAGCTGAAGTGCAGTATTTGTAACAATCTGCGTTCAGGAACTTTACCTCCTCCTCCAAGGCATGATGCATAGCATAAACCTGTTTTCCTCCCCATTTCTGTCCAAAAGTAGAAGCAAATAAGTTATTACTGCTTATACAGAGGCCGTGTTATTACGTAAAAAGCCCACCAACTTTCACTTTCCAGAAATGTCAACATAGCACTTTTCTTGAAAAGTGCTAGGAAGGAGCAAGAACCATGCTATCATCTAAACAGCTGTCATGGGAAAAAAAAAAAACAACAAACAACAACCCTACCAGATATGTGCAAGAAGAGCAGAAGGTAGTCCTGTCTTCAGGAATAGTTCTCTGGCTTCCACACCTGACACAAATCCATCCATGTCCTTGTCAGTTTTCACAAAGATCTCGTCATACTTAATTTTGTCTGCAGGCGTCACAACCCACTGAAGCAGGGCGGGGATGCAAGGGTAAAAAAGAAAACCAACAAAAACCAATAAACATTACAATGTTAAGATACAGGGAATTCTGTTTTCAGATTGTAACTTTCAGAGTTATATAATTCAAGGACTACAGCACAGATTTTAAAAAGTGACATAGGTGCCTAGCTCATGAACCCATTTTATCCTCCAAAAAATCAAGATGCACAGAGATCCACAAGAAGCAAAGCCCTTACATCAGTGAAGCACCAAGGCCAGCTGGTACCGCTCTGCCTCTTCGTCTGAGCAGGAAAAGCATTCCCTGGAACCCCGCTCTCCTCCCAGCATGGGGCTGTCCCCTCATCGCCGTGCTCAGTCACAGCTCTCCGTGCTGTCTGCCTCTAGCAATTTTCTTCCTCTTTACACAGCTGGAGATCTTCAGCGGGAGGGACTGAAGAACTGCTCAAGGCCAGACCGTTAAATTGTAGAATTTAGCTCCCATCAAGGTAAAGATGAGAATTAGAGCCACTTCTCTTACTTCAGCAATTTTTCCAAACACGAAGCTAATAGGAAGATGTTTGGTGTTCTTTTTCTGAGTGAAAATGGCTTCAAGTGCATGCTTACGAACGCTAATTAATTTCAGCATACAAGGACACTTAAGAGGTGAATCCCAAACAATGCTGTACACAAAACACACGCTCAAACACTCATCCAGACTGGCACAGCTTTGTAAGGCATACTGCAAGACTTACTGTCAGTCAAGTAAATTGCCAAATAAAAACCTAAAATGCCAGTTATTCAAATAGGGTTACTCAAATGTCCAAGGAGCATCTTACACGTTAAGAAGAGTTCTTACCTTAGATCCCCTTCTAATTTATTTTTTTTAATTTGAATAGAACGAGTAAATTATAATCTACTTAGAAAGACATTTTCCTGAATTTTGGATTCTAAATTGAGCAAGACTAAGTAAGATGCTTACAGAGTGGGAGGCATCAACTTGTTAATAATCACATTCAGAATGAACACCAAATCTTGTGCGCTTCGGTGGTTATCTTTTCCCATTGCTTGCATTTATCTATTCCATTTCCACGGATGTCTTCTTCAAATTGCATCCATGTGCATGTGTACAACCACATGTACACGCCTGCCACAAATTGTTTTAAGAACTTGGCCATATTCAAATTGTTCTTCAGCTGGAAGACTTATGGTCTGCAGATGTGTACCTGGACTATGTTTTTAAACTGCTTTCTTTTAGGTTAAACTTGATGCCTTGAAATAATATATTGTCTAAATATCTTTAAAACCTCTACTAAATAATTCTCTTACCCAACTGTTTACATCTGAAGATGTCTAGAAAAAGTAGAACAAGATAAATTTCATACCACTCCACGTGGCCTTCGCACCAACTTCCTCAAATTCATCAGTCAATCAACAGAGCAAAAAGGAAACTGAAAACCTGTATCAGGACTTCATACAGGCAGTCCCCAAAGCACAGAATTAAGAGCAGGTATCTTGTAACCCTAAGTCACTTTGGAACCATACCTGCGTTAATGGTGTTTTGGCAGCTAAAATGCCTACAGGTGGTAAGGACTGATGAGACTCTTTGGTAGATGTTGCTGATGGAATTAATGGCATTGCTCCAGGAACACCAAGAGGTTTTCTCTTGGATGGTGGCACCAAAGCTGCAGGCAAGGACATTGGCACTGGTTCTTTCTCCAAAGCACAGTACACCAAAAACATGGCCTGAACAAGAAAACAAGTTGTGTACATGTAACTATATACAAAATGAATATATACAATATAAAAAATTAGTTAAGAAATCACTTTGCAGCATTTTTTTATTATGTTTCTCCTTTACAAGCCCCCTCAACTGCATTGCAACTTACTGCCTTCTGGTTGCTGCTTTTCATTACTACTTTCTTTTGAGGTTCAGGGCTCAGCAAACACAATTCAGTACCTTTTAGAACATTAAAATGATTCTCCTAAATATCACCAAGCTTCTACCATCATCTGTGGAATTTTATCTGAGAGAACACTTCTCTTAAAGTAGTCACTATTTTTCCAGGAATTGCTCTACTTAGCATCTCTTCTTTTGTTGAGGTTGTATATTTTAATTTAAGTTAACTACTAGAGGCTTAAACGGATTGGTTTCAAAAGAAACTGAAGCTTACAGGTGCCTGAAGACACTTAGAGCAATATTCAGAAAAGCAATTTTTAGACTTTCATCCTCTCAGAAATATACATCACATCAGAAAAAGGTAAATTCATTGTATTTATATTATGAAGAAACAAAGTAAGGTTTTTATGTTGTTCACAACATCAATTGTTGGCAATTAAATAAGTATTTTTGGTTTTGTTTTTAAATTTTGATTGAAAGCCTGAGCAGAAGTTTAATTTGTAGAAAATAAGATTAAAGGCTGGCTTTAGTGCCACCTGAGGACAGGAAGGTCACATCACTTTTTCAAGATTCTTGCACTGTACAATGCAGTTAAGATGTTTTGGTTTTCCAAACCTTTCAAGTTAGGTTTGATATTCTATATAAAACGAAACCCTCTTCTCCAGAGTGAATGCATAATTCTTTCCTCCCCGATTCCCTTACACGCAAAAAAGCTGAAAGTTCTGAGAAAAAGCTGACGCATGGTTGCTATCACATTCAAAACTTGCACAGTCTTCAAAAGCAAGAGCCTTCAGCTCTTTTCTCACCTGCCACCTCTTGGGGGAAGTGAAAATTTTTTATTGCTACTGACATGATTTCATCAGTACCGGCATTAATACTGGTAAGAGTCTAACTTGCTACAAACTTTTGAAGAATTGTATGTAAAAATTTTTTGAAACTTTCCTCAAAGTTATCTTGAGGCATTCAAGGACTAATGAAGGTTAAGAAAAAACTTGTTCAGTGAAAAAACTCAGTGGGAGAGCAGATCACAGGTGTAAGTTTTTAACAGCTCATTTAGTTCACAAAGAAATTTACTGCTGTGTATTGAGCGGCACTCAACAGGCTGACAGAAAAAACAGTACTAAAACTTGATTAAGGACTCTGACTAAAGACACTAAATGAACTACACAAACAGTCACGAACTAATACATGATGCACCTATTTTAAAGCCCTGCCACTAGGCTTTCAAAATCACAAGAGGCAGAAGATACTTACGACTGCAAACTCATCTCGATCCAACATTCCATCACGGTCAATATCACTCAATTCCCACACCTACCAACAAAAAGCAGAATAAAGGAACGTTTGCCAGACTTGCAGCAGTTTCCTATCTAAAATCTCATTAAAAACAAATGTGAGAACAGGCTCCCTTCACCATATCCTAGGTTTTATTAAGATTAACAGCATAAGTTTTCAGCGAGCAACATACACTCACATAAATCATGCAAAAAAGGAGAGATTCTTAAGTTGGAGAAGAAGTGCACTAAGGGCACCCTGCCCTAAGCCAGGTGTTGAAGAGTACACATAACTGATATGCTCTAATAAGAGGCAATCTACCAAAATATTAAAAGAAGTATCTTTTCCTCTTACAGTTTAATAGTTACATGTGTGGCCAGTCCGTAAAATAGCGTTTAATAGTTAGGCTCACTACTACAAATCTCCAATTTGAAACACAGATATCAAGGAGTGTAGCACAGTTATTATTTGTGAATTAACACTTAAGAAAAAAGGGTATTCTTACCCGTCCTAAAATATCCACTGGCAGTTTTGAGTTAAGAAGTACAGGTTTCACCTTATCACCTGACAAAAGTCCATTCACAGGATTTAGGCTGTCAAAAATAGCATCGTACTTCGCCTTGTCTTCCAGCTGCAGAAGAAAATATTTATGGAAATTGTCATACTTGTAGCTTAAGAAGCAGTACTTCTTTCTAAAGTATTAACTTTTTTTTTTCAAGTTACAGTTAGAAACACACACATTGCAGTTCCTGATGCTTAAAAGAAATATGAAAAAGATATTATTTCTAAGTCAGCTGGAGGCTTGTCCAAAACCCAGTGAGATTTATTCTTCAATTATTTTCATGGCTTCAGGTAACTTTTTTTTTTCCTCTCCAAATTTCTAAGCACAAAGAGATTTCCCAAAGGTCAAGTATTTGTATCAAATTAGGTCTTCTAGCCCAATTACAGAGTTCACATGAATAGCAATTTATCATACTTTATAGCCACCAGTAGCATTTTTCTCAGACTTATGTTTTCTTGTGAATCAAAACATAGTTTTAAGTAACAGCCTGATCTTTAGTTTACCTTAACAGCCCATGGTAGATCACTTGATGCTGTTGCACTCAGTAGCAAAGGACTACTAGTATCAGTCTAAGGAAAAAAAGGAAAAAAAATATATATTAAGAGAGAAATGGTTCCGACCTTGCAAAACCACTTCCTTATTTGAGATAGTGCTCCTTCTCAAAGCCAGAACCACGCATTAGGCAACCACACCTTAATTAAGGATATCAACATTTAGAGTAAGTAATTTAGAATGTTTCTTCCACTAAGGACAACACTAATAGAACAAATACTATATATACATTCAAATTATACACTATTTTATGTTCGAATTTCCAGCAGACCATGTAGCTTGTTATTCCACACTGCTTAATTTTCCCCTTTTGTAGGGCCCTATTGCCCTACAACATCATTTTTGGAAGCATTTAGTATTTATACCAAACCTTCCTAATTGTTCACTTAAAAGCAGTTCCTATTAATGGGTTGATAAGTTCAATTATAAAAGAAATCTTACAAATCTCGGTGGAGGAACAGGCAAATTAAGACTACTCAGGGAAACATCCAATCCATTCTGTGCACATGCTACAAGTCGTAAAGCCACAAAAAATTCCTAAGGAAAAATGAAATTTTAAAGGATTATATGAAAATACTCAAAATTCAGAGGAGTTAAGACCTTGTCTAGTATTACTATAAAAACAAAGGGTTGCAAACAGCTTCAAAGGGGGTCACAAAGTGACAAAACGCAGCAGTCGGCAACCACTGAATTCCTCCAGTGAGGCAAAGTTTGTAACTGCTTGCTGCAAGAATTTAGTAACTTTCTGGCTAATGCAGTCAGTTTTCAGCACTCAGTTCTTCCTTGTTTTTCCTGGAGGAACTGAGGTGACCCCAAAGCTGTCACTGGTGGAGAGTGAGGAAAGAAAGGTACCGCACGTGAGTAAAATGAACCGAAAGAAGTCAGGGAGGGGGGGATATTTTTTTGGTAGATGCTACAAGCTCCCTCTTTTCTTACCCTGGGATAAAGCAGGTAGCTCTCTGCAGGCCATTATTTAGGTAACTATACCTCAAACCAAACAGCAATGCACATTACAGATCTCCAGGAGCATCACCGATACACGTGTCTGACTGCCATACTGCTCATCACTACAGCTTTGGAGGAATAAATGGAATAGGCTAACATCAAGCGCACCAAAAAAAAAAGGAATTAAGAAATAGATAGAAATGTGGAGATTTTACTAGAATTTTAATTTCTTCATTAAGTTTTGTCCAAGATGAAGAGGAAAAGTCATCTTTGCAGTTACTACAGTACATTAACCCTCAAACTACTTCTCAATATATTGTATTGCCCAGGTACTCAGCAACTCATTTTATGACCTGAAGAAAAACTGATGAGGTAGCTGAAGGCTGCTTAATTTATTACAGCTTGTAGCTTACTCTGAAGTAGGAATTACGTATCTAATTCCAACTAGAAAAACAAAAAATGAAATAATAAAAAAACCCCAATAGTTCGAAAAACTGCATTCCTGAACCAGAAATGTTAACTTTTATCTTATTTCAAGGTTTGCTAACGGTTAGAGTAACCTCATACATCATATAAAAAACCATACCTGTTTGTTCAGGATACCTTTGCCATCAGTATCAGCCAAGTCCCAAATCTAAAACAGAAAAATAATAGACACAAAGTGTTCCACAGCACTGAGAGGAAGCTCTCACTCCATTTAATGATGCATTCTTGGACAAAAGTTCAGGTCTTAACTTTTATGATAGGACTTATCCACGGTGAAAAATTTAAATATTGTTTTGATTTCTACTACAACCTACATATATAGTGGAATAAGCAAGGATACTGATGTGGGAAACGATCGGATAGCACAACTGAAAATACATTAGGGAAGATCGTGTATGCTGTAGTACCACCAAGTATTTTAAGTTACACAGGATACTAACTGAAGCAAGAGACAGGATAATTAAACGATTGTCATTAAATACCTTTCCAAGCACCAAATCTGTCAATCCAGACTTTTTCAAGAAAACAGCTGCGTCGGAAGCTAACACTCTTCCAGCATTAGCAGAATCAACCTGGGGGGAGAAAAAACCCTCACATGACAAACTAGCTTTTGAATTGATGCAGTCTCTTTACACAGGCTCTCAGAAAGCTAGCTAGCAACAAACACTCAAGTTAACATAGTCACTTGGAGAACAAACCCTTCTTTTCATTAAAAATCAAGTTACATTAGAATTAAGACATTTTGAATTAGCTGCTCTAGATTTAATATTAATAGGTAAGCTTTGAAAGTTGATCTATTAAACTAACACTGTCAAATTTAAGACATATTATGCATATAGATCTAAGCATCTTTCACACCTTACTATGTTTTACAGTGTTCCAGAGAAATACACTACTATCCCCATCTGTCTGAACACGACTAAGACACAGGGAGGTAAGAATTTTGCCTAGATGACCCAGTTTGGGGCAGAAGCAAGGAAGGTAACCCAGGTCTCCCACGTCAAAAGCCAACACCCCAACACAAGCTTTCTCTTATAGGTTCATCAGTAAAGACTTGAAAAGTGAAGAAAACACTAATACATATGCAAACCATCAAATGCCCACTGCTGTAAGCTTCTAACCATTGGCTATGCCTGGATTTCAAGGTCTTCAGTAGCAAGTTTTTCAAAAGGTCCAAGAATTTCTCAAGTCACGCAGCAGATAGGAAAGCTCATTCACACTAGGCCATCATTGAAACCTATCTAATTAGCCCTTCGTAATCACAGCATTTTCTTCCTGACGCCTGCAAAACATTTGATTCGTTAGGACAGAGAAGTCCCAGAGTTTGATTACATTTAATTGTCCAGCTCTGAATTCATTGTCTGAAAAAGAAGGCTCTGCTTTAAGCCACCTTTACCACCATAGGAGAGGGAAATGTTTACTCCCTAAAGCAAAACTTATTTACACAGGGAATAAGTTGCTGATATATTTGGCAGACTATCAACCGGCGTGTATTTCTCCCTGGATCACTACAGGGATCATAAAAATACATCATTATTCACGTTCCTAAGTCAAAACAGTACCTCAGGGATACCTTCAAGTGGAAGAAGCAAGCAGCAAAACTTACACCACCTACACGAGAAAAAGTGAAATAGAGAAAAAGCTGCGAGACTTTATGAGAAGGGGGCCAAGGGTATCACCAGTCAATTCAAGCCGTTAAACTTAAGACATCAGACAGTTGTACAGGTCCTACAAGATCTAAAGATCGATTAAATAATACATTTTACAGAGGAAAATTATATAATATTGTCTTCAACACAAGATCAAGGGAATCTATGATCAGCTGAGATGCCCCGAAATTCTGAAAAATTTGTGACATGATAAACATTTCCAAGGACAGTAAAGGGGCAACAGAGGTCAGTTTCTTCCCACACTTCCTGCAGAAAGAGTCAGAGAACTGAAATGGTAGGAATAAATGAGTATGCGTGGAAAATTGAAGTACACCCATAGAAAGAGTAACTTGACGCTAGCGTTGGCTTTCCCAGTACCCCCTTTTCAAGACCAATGCCTTCTGGGCACTTGCTGAACACTGACTCACAACAGCTGTCTTTGAAATCCTCTGCGAATGCCGAGCAAAAATGAGTGCAGGATGGAACAGGAAGTTTGGGAAGATCCAGCAAAACATTTCATGATGCTGACAGACTGCATCACGTACAGTCTCTTAACTTTGTGTTTAAATAAAGACTACATTCAATATTTTCTCTGGAATTTAAGACTAACCTTCCAAGTTCACAAGTGCCCACAGGGTGCTCAAAGCAAACAGCTCCAAAAGATGGGCTTAG